ATTCCGGATGTCAACATGTAGATCACAAAGGCATTTATTGAGTTAACCTTGTACCGAATGTCAACAAAACAGAGCAGGAGCATGTAAATTAGGCACCTAAACTATAGCTTATACGGAAGCCATTACTTGAATAAAGCACATGTGAACTACAGCTTATACGGAAGCTATTCTACTCGAATAAAGCACATGTGAACTACAATCAACTAAGAAACATGTAACCCCATCACTATATATTTACATGTCCCAGGTTCAACCACTAGAGTACAGCATGCATCATAAAAGGAATTTGGGTACCTCTTCCTATTCCTGGCTACGTTGTGTCATCGGCACCGCCCTCTTGTCATCCTGGTCACGGAAGTGGTGCGGCCAGGATTGACAAAGGGGTAGCAGATCCGGTGTGGCTATCATCAACAATGACGCTGGGGCTCGATCGTGATAGGTGCCAACGTAGGGGGTCTAGATCCAACGTGTACCACCGCTGATGGCAGTCCTTCTGCCGTCAGCGGACCTGCTGTCGATGAAGCGGATCGGATCCGGCTCCGGCTCCGGCTCCGGCTAGGGTTTGGAAAGGTACGAGAGAGGGTGTGGCTAGAGAGTGGAGAGGGAGTCAAGCTGCTATGCTAATGCGCCTAGCTACGGTTTGAACTAGGGTGGCAGAGGGGGCTTGGCTTTGGAGCGGGAGGAGAGACGGTGCGGCTAGTCCGGCTAGAGAATGGAGATGGAGGTGGAGACGATGACTCCTTGCGCTTTTATGTGGCCTTCACAATATCGCAAATACCCTTGTCTGAAATCGATGGCGTGGTAAGCCAATTCTCCACGAGGAGGGCAAAAGAGAGATCTAATTTTATTTCGTGTTGGCGGCACTGCTGGGCCCGAAATCAAATTTACACGTGGGCAGATCGCCGCCCCGTCTAGCGTCTTGTGAGCAGAGACTGAATTTTATATGATGAATGGTGATGATATATACAAAGTAATACACTAATGTGTATTAACCGTCGGATCACCAATATTAATCTCCCAAGTTTTATCTGTGTATGTACCATATATCGATATGCATGCCTTGATTCTCTTTTGCAAATAATATATGAGCCACAAACAATGACTCAAGTGTATATTATATGCACAAAAAGCTCAACCGTACGTTGGTACCACACACCTCTGTTTTCGAATGCAAGTGAGCCATGCACTAATTCGTGGAGAGGCATGTGTGGTGATACTATTCGGCAATGATGACTATACACACAACTGATACATCGCGGAGATGAGTGTGTGCCTGTCACAAAAAGTGTAGCGCTCAAACTGGTCGCCACATTTTTTAAAATACTTTAGTAATTAAAGATATGAGGCAATAACGTATGAGACACATAGCTATGAAAGTTTGGCAACCCGCTATGGCATGAAACCAAACACGAGCTTAGAAACCAGCAACATGCCTAAGGTGTGTGTCATGGCAAGATTCGGTAAGCAACCAAACATGTTGTTAATCTTAAGCCATCTTAAATTTCATAGAGGTTGTTTGAATCCACTAAGCAAATAGTGAGCAGCTAAAAATTAGCTTGGTGGTTGTGGCAGTCAGCGAGCGAGCCTTGGACGGGTGGAGGAACTCCCGAGGTTGAAAAGGCGCCTACATTGGTGGGGTGTCGCTCTACAAGGGAGACTAGGCCTCATTGAGATCGATGTCAACATGTTGCGAGCGATCCATGATGAAGTGGGGGATCGAGCTCGTGCTTATGCAAGAATGAGGGCCCTCGGCATGGCCTTGAGGAGGAGGTGGTGGGTGGGGAGCGTGAGGGGAGTTTTTTTGGGGGGGGGTTGGAGTGAGAATGGTGAGAGAGAGCCGCACGAGGAAAGCCACACTGGGGTTAAGGAAGGGGGCAATTCGGATGGGAGCGCAGATGAGCCGCGCAACGCAGGTCCAGGTGCCTTGGAGGAAATGAAAGGGACCCAACATGACTAATAAGCTAGTAATAAGCTAGCTAATTGTTAGCATTGAACCCCACCTAACAACAATCTTACTATGGCCATTCCATCCTAGCTAATAGATTTGACAAAAAGACATTTTTACATCCCATCCATATCCTCCACTCAAAGTTGACAAGTTGAGTGTACAACTCACCAACTGAGATGGGTTCGACCCTGGCGGCGGCGATATACACCACCGGGTTGAAGCGAGATCTAGGATGGTGAGGATGTAAGACACCAGCTCTTCGTCTTCAAGCTTCTTCCTTGCAGATGCCATCTCATCTGCAAGGGCCTTCATCTTCGTGGAGTACTCGTTAATCGATGATGTTCCCTTGGACGCCGTCGCGAGAGCCATCCTTGTGCTGATGACATGCACTCGCGATTGGGACGTGAACATCCCTTCAATTGCGGCCCATGTCATGATGACCGTCTCGGTTGACGAAACTCACAACAGAATGTCACGCGAGAGCGAAGACAGTAGATAGTTAAGGACCTGCTAGTCCTTTGCTACCACTGTTTCATACTCTGGATTAGGTGTGGGTGGCATGTCCTTGTTGTCACCCTTGGACAGAAGGAAGGCTGGGGGCAAAAGAGAGATCTAATTTTAGTTCGTGTTGGCGGCACTGCTGGGCCCGAAATCAAATTTACACGTGGGCAGATCGCCGCCCCGTCTGGCGTCTTGTGAGCAGAGACTGAATTTTATATGATGAATGGTGATGATATATACGGAGTAATACACTAATGTGTATTAACCGTCGGATCACCAATATTAATCTCCCAAGTTTTAGTGGACCCCCAAGTTTCGGTGGACCCTAAGTTTTGGTGGACGGTGACTCTTGACAACGTTTATGTGTCCGTGATGCAATTACACGACATGTGGGACAGTCCGCTACTAAAGGCATTCTTTGATCAGTACCCATCTTTTCCTGTTTTGCGCGTCATTTCTGTCGCCGTTCACCCCCTTCGGCGTGACCCACCCTGCGCCGCCTCCCCCCTCCCCCTCCCCCCCGCACACCGAAACCTCTTGCCTAGATCCTTCCACACCGTGAGGATCTACTGTGCCGCGGCGATCTACCGCACCACCGTCTATCAGCGCGCCACTCCTCTAGCGAGCAAGCCAGTCGAGATTGCCTTCTCGCCTCAGCACGGTGAGGCCGTCTATGATCTCCTCTTTTTTCTTCATGAATTTATGGTGTTTGATGAAACGCGTGTGTAATTTTTTGATTGTTGCAGATGGCGCGAGTTAAATCAAAGCGGGTAGAACTACCACATCGCAGAAAGAGCCAGAGGCAGGTAACCATTCTCTGAGAAGAAGAGGAACATGCACCACCATAGCCTAGAAAGAGCCAGAGGAAGGCTCGCAGTGTCCCAGAAGCAGAGGAACAAGCACCACCACAGCCTAGGAAAATGCAGAGGAAGGCGGACAGTATCCGAGAGGCAGAGAAAGAAGCAACAAAAGCTATGCTAGCCCTGGAGTTCGAGAATTCTCGCAGGCGGACTCGAACGGCCCACCGATAGCAGCAGCATGAGGGGAGTGCTGAAAATGAAACTCAGGGAGGAGCTCACTGAGGAACAACTACAATAAATTACCGAGTTCCACTCCAAAAACTAGACCAGTCGCTTTGCACCTTCCTAGATCAAATCTGCAGCTACTCATGGGGGCGCGGGCGCTCGCACTCGTGGAGGTTCTATGTGTGCCACAATTGGTGGTCCAAGGAGTAGTCGAGGAGGTAATTTGATGTGTGCCATAATTGATGGTACAAGGAGCAGTCGAGGAGGTAATTTGATGTCTGCCAATGATGGTACGAGGAGCAGTCGAGGAGGTTTGGTGTCTGCCTCCTCCAAGCACACCATCCGAGCCAGACGCGCAAATTAAAAATTTACTAGCCGGTGATCCGAAACACCGATAATGTTGCACGTGTATGTTTCAATTGTTTTAAATGTTTAAAGGTATGTTGCAAGTGTTTCGTATGAATGTCGTAAAAGTAGATCGGGATGTTGCATATGTTGCAATGGCTATACACGTATGTTGCAAGCGTCTGTTCCAAATGTTTCATCTATTTTTAGACGTATGTGTTGCAAGTGTGCTTATTTGGGTGTTGTATATGTTTCACGCATATGTTGCAAGTGTTTTATCTCGATGCTGCATATGTTTTGTAATGGCTTTTCAAATGTTTTTAAGTATTTTTGCAAGTATTTCAGACGCATGTTTCATGTGTTTTATCTATCTTTAGACGTATGTTGCAATGTTTAATCTGGATGTTTCAAAAGTAAATCGAGTATTGCACATTTTACAATGGTGTCGGTGGATGACGGACAGCGGCCTACCGCAGGGCTTCGGCTCCTACATCGCGTGGTGCGCCTCGCACTCTCCTCTTCTCTCCCTCCCCTTCCTTTCATTCCCTCCATCTCGCCACGGAAGTTCGAGCTCGGCAGGAAAACCCTACCCGACAAGCACGCAGACGCCCGCGGAGATGGTGGCCCCGAGTGGACTGATGGTAGTGCGATGCCCGTGTGGTGGCCCCAGAGCAAACTAAGGTCAGCGTCGTCCCCTCGCTACGCGTGGAAACAAGCAGCCGTGAGCGGGGCGTCCATCCGGGTGCTAGAACGCGGATGGCACCTCGCTAGCACCCGATCACGGCCTCGCCAACGCCAGACTGTGTCACACTGCTCCACACAGCGTCTTCCCTTGCCTGTGCGCCCGGCCACACCATGCCTCGCCACCACGCTCCTGGCCCCAACCGTGCCTCGTCGCGCCTCCCCCGCTTGGCTGTGTTGTCCCACCACGCCACCCGCTCACAGTAGGTCAGCAGGTGTAGTTGCATCGTGCACATGTGCACGCGTCCTTGCGTCCACGCCATTGCTTTGCATGACAGGGAAGCTAGCAATAACCGTATTCGTCATGTAGTAGGTTTATTTCCTTTCCTCTTGCAACAGATGGTTGAACAACCGTATCGCTCGATTCATGCATTGATTTAGTGTTGTTTGATTTTGACAAGGAATTAACGATGATGCGACCTACCCTGTTTCCACCATTTTTACTGGAACACGTACAGCGTGGTGTTCATCTTGCGGTCGGCGAGGAAGCGGTGGAGGTGCTCCGTGGGGTGGATGGCGTCCCAGAACGCGTACTTGCCGGCGTCCGCGCACGTCAGCGGGCTGGCCTCGTTGCACATGTACCCCATCTCCAACCGCCCGGTGATGCCGCAGCACCCGGCCGCGACGTCCTCGAACCCGTACGCCGCCGGGTCGGCGAGCACGTCCGCCACGGGGCCGTACACATCGCCGTAGACAACCCTGGCGCCGCCGCCGAGGCCTTCGTCGCTGTCGTCCAGGCGCGCCACCAGGTCGCGGAGGCCCGCGTTGAAGGCCCGCGCCACGGCGTTGTACTCCTCGGTGCACGCGCCCGTGGCCGCGTGGCGCTCCAGCGGGAGGCACCCCATGGGCGGGAGCCCGTTGAGGTCCAGCTTGCGCGCGCCCAGCGCGTGCAGCGCGCTCGCGAACGACTCCGCCACGCCCAGGAGGTATCCCGCGTAGCCCGACGCCGACTCCGCGTACTCTGCCGCGTGGCCGCTCCGCACGGCGTAGTAGTTCTCCAGGAAGTCGTTGGTGCCCATGCTCACGACGTAGAGCGCCTCCGACAGCGTCTCCTGAACCCGGTCCTCGCCCTGGAAGCTCCTCAGCTTCGCCGCGTACTCTTTGAAGTAGTCCAGCTCTTTCCACAGCGGCAGAACGGACTGCAAAACGGATCGACATGTTTGTCGGAGGCGGCGTTCAGTGGCGTCGTAACAAAGAACCTATTTTTTGTGCACGAGCACGATGGCGTCTTTCTTACAAAAAGATCAGACGTGGCGTTGTCGTAGCCGGCTCCTGCAGAAGCGAAGCAGGCGCCGGTGGCAAGGCTGTTCATGTTGACGTTGGGGTCCAGGTACGCCGGCACGAGTGGGGGGAGGCCAAAAGCCTCGGAGATGAAGTCGACGGCGAGGCGGCCGTTGGAGAACCGGCCGGTGGGCTGGCCACCACTGCCGCTTCCCGGCGGCCGGAGGTCGCGGCCATAGGGCGCGAAGTCGCTCTTGACGAGCGTGGAGATGTAGTTGTTGTTGCCCGTGTCGACCGTTGAGTCGCCGAACACGATCAGCGCAGTGACCTTAGCCGCCGCCGGTGGTAGGACGCAGAGCATGTACAGCTGCAGGAGGATGATCGGTAGAGAATGCCGCAATGCCGACATGTTCTCTGTTCACGGATCAGCAGTTGCGGCTCAGTTTATTTCGGTGGACTGGTCACTGGATCATGTTGATCCGGATTCCGGTGTCAATTTCTTGATGTGCTGCCGTCGCCTTTTTGCAGGGTTTGGCGAGCTACTAGTGACTCGGCCATCCTGTGCGGTTACAACTGATGGAGACGAGTCTACACATTCAATGGAAACTTCCACGATTTGTCGCTAGTATATTGTCATTTTATACCGAGTACTGACTTCCCCATATTATCACGGTCGTTCCTTCCGAGGGATGTAACGGAAGGGAGAAAAAACCAAATCAAAGGGACTTTTTATATCCTTTTTAATTATTAGGACACATTTCCTATCTTACATGTGCCTGAAAGTGAAGATAAACTAGCAACAAGGGAGAAGGTGTTCAATCCCATAGTTGAGGTTGAGTATTGACGGTTGGATTTAGATTAGACGGGTGATGTCTATTGGGAATAGAGATTTTAATTAAAAAAAATACTCTCCAACAACTTTTTTATTTGGCGCGCCACCAGTTATCTTCGGCACCTGGTTGTGGCGCGCCTGGCTTGAGCATGGAGTCGAGCACCTTGTGAGTCTAGAGCAGCTCTGGCAATGGCACGTTCGTACGGGGGACGAGGCGTTGTGCGGGAAAAGGTCGGATAGCCAGCGACTCTCGTCGTCCAAATCTACCGACCGAATTTTCAGGAATAGACAATGACTAAATTTAGAGAGGCGTTTACATAATCTGTTGGAATCGTTTTTTCTCAATAATAGCTATATTTAGCTTTACAATACGTTTTAACTAATTTTTTTGGAGTTGCTCTTATATTCTGGATTTCTCGTAGAATAACTCCCTATAGTACATACAAGATATAAAAAAAACTGTTGGAGAGCGGATGTCGGTGTTTCGGATCACCGATTAGTAAATTTATATCTGCGCGTCTGGCCTGGATGGTGTGCTCGGAGGACACAAGGATTTATACTGGTTCCGGTGGAATGTCCCTATGTCCAGTCTGCTGCTGCTCGTATTACCAGCACTCGTTTGTAGTAGGGGTTATAAATGAGCGAGAGAGGGAGAAGTTTCCAAGTCTCTGGTGAAAAGATCGTATGAAATTGAGTCTTGCTGAGCTTGTTCAGCCATGTGCTCGTTAGCTGTCTCTCTCGGTCGTGTGCTCATGCTTCTTCTTTTATAGGTGAAGGGGAATGCGCATGTTACAGAGAGAGAAAAGGAGAAAAGCGAGGGAGAAGAAGGCCTCCAGGGCCGCCGCGTCCTTATTCTCCTTCACGCGGGTCCCACTGACGTTGTAGATGGTGACGGGGACGGCTCTGCGTCGGGCTCCTGTTCACCACCGGTGCCATGCCTCAACGTCATCAGCTAGTCATGGCATCCCATCATGTCCCGACGGATGGCGTGGTGAACCGACATGTCCGTCAGCGGCCGTACGGGGAGTAGGCAGCACAGCGACCACGCACTGTCACTGTTGGCGATGTGAACCCCCAGGCGTAGCCTAACGTGGCCATGGGTCACGTCGAGGCATGCCTGCTTCATGCCCAATGTCAGAAGTTTGACCCCGGGGTCGTACCTTCTGACCCGTAGTGGTTGAAGGTAGTATGGGTTCCCGTCGGGCGAGACAGAGCCCACGCCCCAGAGGTCGGGCGAGACGGAGCTCGTGCCCTTAGGGTCGGGCGAGACGGCTCCCGTACCCTTAGGGTCGGGCGACACGAGGCCTATGCCCAAGGGGTCCGGCTAGACGGAACCCGTGCCCTCGGGGTCAGGCGACACGAGGCCCGTGCCCTCAGGGTCTGTTGAGATGGCTCCCGTACCCTTGGGGTCGGGCGACACGGGGCTCGTGTCCAAGGGGTCTGGCGGGACGGAGCTTGTGCCCTCAGGGTCGAGCGAGATGGCTCTCATACCCTCAGGGTCAGTCGAGACTGAAATACATCCTTGATTATCTAGGTGAGTTATCATCCGCGGTCCTCAGATTCCTTCTTCGGGTATCCCTAATACCGATACCCGATAGTAGCCCCCGAGACTACGGAGGAGTAGGATACTCCTTCGTAGGCTTTTTTGGATGGAGGGACTTTGAGGGCTTTGATCTTCTGCTGCCCGCAGGACGCCTTGGTTGGTTGTGATTCCCTTCTGTCATGGTCAAACTCCTTGGGAACATGTAGCTGCGGGATTCAGGGGGCGAAAAAGATTTCTCATGATTCCGATCCCCCCTAGGATCCGATCGATACACCATCATCATGCGACCGCGCATTCGGTCTCCTTGCGAGTCCGACTTCCCTCAAGCGTTTTTTTCGATAAAACGGAGGGGCTGAGCTATGCCATGTTTTCCTCGATGGACGAATCATGGTGCTTGGTGAGCTGTTAACAGGCTAGTCCGAGTGGGGCCCTGGCTTCCTGTTCGCGGGGGTCTGGCATGGGTCAGCTGGTGACCGACTCCAGATTCTTGGCGGCCAATCCATATAGTTCATGGGTCCATTTGACCGGTCCCAAGGGCTTGTTGCCTTTCTTCGAGGAGAAATCATGGACTGTGAACCAACCAAGACTCGAATGTGGGCCGGGATGCCCGCGGCGCTCGTGCGCCCGGGTACTGGCCGCTAGCGGGCCCATCCCTTTCCACCACTCACTCTAAAGGCACTCCGAAGCGGTTGTGAACCCGTCGGTGGGCCAACCTTCAAACTCCCGGACCTGAATGGGCCGTGGTAGCGTTTTCAGCTCCGTATCCCTTCTTACCTGTGGTGGTTCTCGGCCCATCAAATGGGACGAACCGTCATCCGGGGCGTCCTTTGTGGGAGCGGCCCGAGGTGGCGTGCACACATTTCTCGGAGAGGCGATGTGACACGGCGTGGCGGGCGCGTAGATCTAGGTGGATGGTTCGCCTCTCGCTTCACCCCACTTTATAAATAGCGGCCTCTCCCTCCACATTTTGGCACACTAAACCGCAACCTTGCATTCTCCTCCATTCTGCCATCGTCGTTCGGATCTGCTGCCCTTGCTAATCTGCCACCAGCGCCCTAGATCCGTAGCCATCGCTTCTTCGCCGCCGCCAAAAAGTCCTTGCTCCTCTGTCTTTGCTTTCCATGGAGTCGTGGTACCGCTCCAACGTCACCCACGCATACATGGAGGGCCTCGTCAAGCGTGGTCTTCTCCGTGGGAGGAGCGACACGGTGGAGTGGCTCGTGCTCGGTCATGAGGATGCACTGGCGCCGCCCGGTGGCTATGTCGTGTCGTTCATGCCCTTCCACGAGCGTGGACTCATGATTCCTTCCCATCCGTTCTTCCGGGGACTGCTGCACTACTACTAGATTGAGTTGCAGCATCTGAACCACAACGGGATCTAGCTTATCGTGGCCTTCATTGCGCTGTGTGAGGGGTACCTGGGGATCGAACCCCACTTCAAATTGTGGAGGTACTTCTTCTCCGTCTCCCTTCTTAAGAAGGACAGAGGCAGGGAGATCCCAGCGTCGATGGGATACGCGGGCATCCACCTCCGGGGGCAGCGGGCGATCGAGTACATGCCCTGTCAGCTGTATAGATCCAACAAGGGGTGGTACGCACAGTGGTACTACTTGAAGAATGACCCCGCCACCCCCTTGCCAGTCTTCACCGGGCGCCTGATCGAAGAGGCGCCGCCGACGTGGCCATGGGGGCCACCCGTCAAGGAAAAGAAGAGGATGTGCGACCTCCTCAAGGCCATCGCATCCCTGAGGAGCTGTTGTCTTCACGGGGCCGATGTCATCGGATCATACCACGCGAGGAGGGTGGCGCCGCTGATGGCGCGCGCCCTCCCGCTGTATGGGATGATGCCCTTCGCGTAGCTCGATGGGACGGTGCTCGCACAGGGGCCGCTCCGCAACAACGAGGTCGCGCAGCACATCAAGGAGGCGATGGACGAGTCCGACGTCGTGTTCTCAATCTAGGGACATCCCGCGATGCGGCCAGAGCCGGGCTTTATCGAGCTACCAACGGACTTGGGCTTTCGTGCCTCCGTCGCGCCGCTGTCGGAGCACGCTGCCGTGACGGCGGTGAACCGTGCCATAGATGAGCGGAGGAAGAAGGATAAGGACGACAAGGAGGTGAGGCGGCGGGTGAAGCAGCGGGCAAGGCTAAACCGAGGAAAGCGGCGGTAGGGTTCAGAGGAGGAAGAGGAAGGAGGAGGAGAAGAAGAAGGCGATGGTTCCGGGTCGTCCATTCAATGGGATGAGCTGGGCAACAGACACGGTTTCGGGTCGCTCATCTAATGGGATGAGCTGGGCGACGGGGATGAGGATTCATCTTTGTCACAAGCGGGGCCTTTCCCGTGGCATGCCCCGGGGCAGGAGGGGGAGGATGCATCCCCAGAGCCAGCGGAGTCAAGCCGCCCACCCCATCCAGGCCTCTCGCTCCATCTAGACCTGATGAGCAGAGGGAGGGCTCGAAGCGACAACATGCAGATGAGGAGCAGCCGAGATCGGGCGGTCCGGCCCCAAAGCGTCATCGCCCGATGGCGTTGAGGTGAGTTAAGAGTTTTTTTGTCCTTTTGTTCTAACAAATTTTTGCCATAAACTGACCGTCATGTCCTTTGTAGTGTTGGAGGGTGTGGGACTCTCCTGAGGCTTGCACCAAAAAGAGCCTCTTCCGGTAGACGCGCCAGGAGTCGGCTAGCGCCGCGTCGGAGGTGAGCGGGAGTGGCACTAGGGCGGCCATGGCATCGACCAGGGAGGCACAACCGATGGTTGTGTCCATAGGAGAGCTGAAGGAGGAGGGCGCATCTGGGGCACCCATGGTGGGCGTGGCGTAGCCAGGTGTGACCACAACGTCGTAGGCCAAAGCGGCGCAGCTAGGGCCGTCATCCGTGTGGGTGGCTGCCTCCCCAGCGGGGCAGATGGAGGAGGACATACCCGAGGCGTCCTTAGCAAATGTGGCAACAGGGTAGGCCTTCGCACCCATGTCACCTGCCCCCTCTACCGCCAGAGGGTCCACTCTGGAGGAGTTGCTGCCACAAGAGGGGTCG